TGTGAATATCTGTTAAACTGTAATTTATTTCTGTGATCAAAGCTGAATTTTCAGCATCATTACTCCAGTCTTCAGTGTCACATGATCTGATTTACTGCTCAAGAAACATCTCTGATTATTATCAATGTTGAAAACAGTTGTGCCGCACAATATTTTTGTGGAAACTGATGCATTTTGTTTTTCAGGATACTTTGATGAAAGTTCAAAAGGACAGAATTGGTTTGAAATAGAAATCATTGTAACATTATTAATGCCTTTACGGTCACTTTTGATCAAATTAATGCATCCTTGCTGAATAAAATATTATATATTATAGTATTCATAACATTGATCAGACACATCAAGCAAACAACAGCTGCTTGTCTATTTGTTTGTGTAACTATGCAAATCTCATGAATATTTAATAGTTTCTGATTGGTTGAACATTATAGCTCCGGAAATAGCCCACCTTCATCTGCAGAATTTAGCATCTTTATTATTAGACATGTTATATATAATATTATACTATTTAGTAGGTTTTTTTGTCCCCTATTTTTTTTTTTCTTCTTTTAACAAAATGAAATTTAGGACAAATTATAAATGAAAAGGTGCCGTTTTGTTATTTCTCGGACACACATTTCTTTGTGAAATTGTCAAATAAAGCTAAATTTAAAATTTAAAACAAAATCTCATCAAATAAATAAATAATACAAATAAAAGGATCTCTTCATATAGACAAACTAAGGCTTTGCTTTTGCTGGTGAGGTGACCTCTGCATTTTAATCACATGCAGCATGAGCAGTTTTTGATTTAAACTAGATTGTATAGTTAACGCAAAAACAGAACGGTCTGACTTTAATTTAGTAAAACTATACTACATAAAACATGTGCATACAACACAAGCAGCAGATGGGCTGAATAAGAACGCAATTTCATTCTCTGCCAGCAGGTGGCGCTTATGGAACAGCAGCAATACAGCATTTGTTTGGTTACACTGTAAACAAAGCAGTGCTGCACTTGTTCATCCAGGAACATGTTTTACTTGGCAAAATCACGGCCTCGTTCTCTTTGTCTCTGGCAGATCCTGATCCGTCTGCTCGGTTCCTGTCATCCGTCTGCTCCGGGCTGCTCCATGCAGGGGAGCGGCTGATCCATGGGCTGACTGAAGCTGTCCAGACTGAAGCTGGGGAAGCTAAAGGTGGTTCGGCGGCAGCTGCTGCAGCGCTATGAGCACCAGCCGTTTGTCTCGTGTCTGGCCGGTCTGTACGGCTGCCAGTGGAGACGCTACCAGCGCGCCAAAGCCCAGCCGGGGGAATGCTGCTGCAGTCGGGTGAGGAAACGGGATCATTACGGTGCTTGGAATCACTCCTGCTTACGTTTTTCTGCAGTAATGGTTCCCATGCAAGTTTTGTTCCAAAACACAGTGAGCTGCCTACATGTTTAGGCATCACAGCACTGCATGTTTTGGTGCTGGGATGCTCAAAAAGATGGACAGCAACATAATTCTGCTGAAATAAAAATTCAGATTTTTATTTTGGTTGCATTTCTCGCAATCCCAGCATGCATTGCAACGAGTTGACTGAGCAAAGTCCCTTTCAAGGAAAGCCCTATCTAAATGAATGTTTGGGGAATCCTGAAATGAACGCAATTTCATTCTCTGCCAGCAGGTGGCGCTTATGGAACAGCAGCAATACAGCATTTGTTTGGTTACACTGTAAACAAAGCAGTGCTGCACTTGTAAACACTACTTTAATATGCATTATACAGAGGCAAGATGAAAAGAAAATACCATCTAAACTTTTCTAAAACAGTCAGTTCCCCGCAGAAACACATTCATATAAACTCCCAACTGTATTGCGATTCAGCCGACTTGAATAGTCGCATATTTTTATCGTTTTTTTTAACCTCTGCATGTTGTTTAAGGTTTCTGAAGGGTCTTGTGTAATCAGGCCTCATTCTGTCAGGAAACACAATGCCGTCGATGTGACCTGTGACTGAAGGAATTTCCCAAATAATGTTAAGACTGATCATTTTCCTCCCACTGTAGCTTGATACGCCACTCCATAGAGTTCAGTATAATAGGAGAAATTAGACATTGCTCTACCCTGCTCATATGGTATTAATTTTTCTTTTTAAATACATTTTTGCAGGTCTTAAAAAGTCTGAAATTTGATTTTAAAAATCCTGCAGACAGATGTAGCTTTGCACGCCGCCAGCATCTAGAATGATTTTGATCAGCATTTTAGAAAGAAAGAAAGAAAGAAAAACTTGCCCCTTTTAGACTTGTACTCTATTCATTTACTAACTGCTTGTTTTCTTAAAAAACTAACATAGCTTCTCTATTCTTTTTGTATTCTTATCTATCTGTTTTTTCTGCAGTAATGGTTCCCATGCAAGTTTTGTTCCAAAACACAGTGAGCTGCCTACATGTTTAGGCATCACAGCACTGCATGTTTTGGTGCTGGGATGCTCAAAAAGATGGACAGCAACATAATTCTGCTGAAATAAAAATTCAGATTTTTATTTTGGTTGCATTTCTCGCAATCCCAGCATGCATTGCAACGAGTTGACTGAGCAAAGTCCCTTTCAAGGAAAGCCCTATCTAAATGAATGTTTGGGGAATCCTGAAATGTCAAAAACTGCTCGCTGAACTCGCAATTAAATTACATATTTCAAATATCTGAAATGCAATTAAAGTACATATTTCGAATATCTGAAATAGCAACAAAATCTGAAATGAACTTCCCCTTGAATGTTGTTTCTTATGCTCAAATAGCGTTTAAAATGTTTATTTTTCAAGCTAGACCGGCCAATGCGCATGCACAGTTATATCGCGCATTGGCTGGTCTAGCTCAGGTTTCTATGGGAACCGGATTGCAGTGATGCAGTGACTTTACCAATCAGCGATTGGCTCTTTCATTTAGAAGGAGGGACTATTCTGCCATATTTCGTGTTGCAGTTTCTCCCATTCATAAATACAGGAGTGAACCGTCTTTGTATTTCTACAGTCTTTGGACTGAGGCAAAAATGTAACATTTCATACAGTAATGAACAGTATCAATAGCAAATGAAGAAAAATGACAATTTTTCCGTAATATTTCTGTGTGCTGTCGCTGTGTATTTTTATGCTTTTTAGATTATCACATTGTTATACTGGCAATATAATATGGCAATATTATCATAAACTAAAAGTACTAAAAACCTTTTTGTTAACTGAAATGTAATTGAAACTTTTGTTTTTGTCTAAAATATTGTAAAAATATTTTCAGATTTTTTAAAATGAGTTATTAATTATATAATATAATTACATTACTTGACTGATTTAATATATAAGGCATAGATGAACTAAAAAAAACTGTGCATTTATTTTAATCTCTCAATAATTATATATCTCTGTTCCTTTCAGAGTTATTATTGTAAACTAAAACTATAAAAACCTGTTAACTGAAATTAAGCTGAAATATTTTGCATATAAGACATAAATATAATGTTTTATACATAAACTATTTAACTATATAAAACTATATAAATTGTTTTATAAAAAACTTTTATAAAAAAACACAAATTAGATGTTGCTACTGTATATATATATATGTGTGTGTGTGTGTGTGTGTGTGTGTATATATATATACACTCTTAAAAATAAAGGTGCTTCAAAAGGTTCTTCACAGCGATGCCATAGAAGAAGGTTCTTCTATGGCATCGTGACGCACCTTTATTTTAGTATAACTACTAGTAAATTAGCACTGCTTTATTTGTTTTTCATCAGAATATCAAGAATTTGTATGTCACCACTTGTTTTCATTACATTTGAATGTATTATATTAAATAATTTCTTTTTATCATTAAAGTAAAATGTCATGCAGTCTCTGTAGCTTTTGTCCAAAATATACAGAATTTTTTGTGGTTTTCTGATGTTTCTTTGTCACTTTTAACCATTACGTTTTATTCATTTAGCAAAAAAATCACCACATAATTAAAGACGTTTTGTATTCATGCATTTCAGCAGGCACTTTTATCTAAAGCACCTTGCATTGCATTCAAAGTATGCATTTAATTATTTGACACATTCACTGTGAAATAAACAAATGACCTTAACAGCAATTTATGTCAGTAAATGCAAAGTGATATATTTCTTTAAATCAAGATGAATAAACTCAGTGCGTGCTGGGATAAAGTACATTACATATATGGAGTACCAACATATTGTTCTCTCTCAAGGGGCTTGTTTCGTCTAAATCTGTGAATATTTCACCTTCACCAGAATATCTGTAAATATAAATGTAAATATATTTTCAGTGCAGATAAACAAGCTCCCCTTGGAGTCGTACACAGTCATCTGAGTGTGCTGCGGTTTGCGCTCTGACTCAGAAAGCATCATTCATTGAGTCATGTAAAAGCGGCTGATGACTCACTGTATGATTGCTGCACTGGACGGCTCCTAATCAACTATATGAATTGCACCGTTAGTATTAGCCTCATGTTTCATCCTCCTCCTGCATTTCTGACTCGGGCCGCTGTGTTGAGTGATTGGTTCATGATGGCTCTGTTTTGCAGTTGGAGTGCAGTAGTTTCGCTCTGCTCATCGTAACGTTTTTCCTGACCCTGATATTCCTGTACTTCTGGAGTGAGGCGCAGAATGACTACAACGACTTTGACTGGTGAGTGTCTCGGGATGGACACACAGATGGATTTAAACATTTCTGGCATTCCGGCAAAATTGTGCCGTTTGTGTGTCCCTATGGCTTCTGAATTATATAATTACATCACGTGATTAAGGCATAGAAAAAAAAACACTGTACATTTAAAAAAAAAAATGTGCATGTCCCTGTTCATTTCCATTATATTTGAATGGGTTATATAAACTTGAAAAAAAATCAATTTTGTTCTTATTCAAAGTAAAATAGCATGCATTCACTATAGTTTTTGTCTAAAAAAAAAAAAACGTTTTCCTTTTTTAATTGTGTGTCCCTATGGCTTAATTATACATCACATGATTGATTTGATTATATAAGGCATAGAAAAACCTTTACAAAATTGCATTTAATTTTTTTTATTATTATTATTTTTGTTTTGTTTTGTGTGTCCCTATGGCTTGTTAATTATATAATTACTTTACTTGATTAATTTTACATATATAAGGCATAGATAAACTAAAAATACTCCATAAATTTTATTTTTAAATATTTTTCATCAGAATTTGCACATCCCTATTCATCTCCATTCTATTTGAATGGGTTATATAAAATTCAAAAAATAAATAAATACTTCTATTGAAAGCAAAATGTCATGCATTCGCTGTTTTTTTTTTTGTCCGAAATATGTATAAAAAAAACAAAAAATTATGAATGTTTAAATTGTGTGTGTGTCTCTGGCTAATTAAGTATATAATTACATTACTTGAATTAAACATACTGTTTAATTTATTTATAAATATTTTTCATCAGAATATCAGAAGTTTGCATGTCCCTATTCGAATGGGGTATATAAAATTATGTATTACATAAATAAAATGGAATGCATTCACTGTAGTCCATCTAAAATATTTAACAAATATTTTCAGATTTTTGTATTTTTATTTTGTGTGTCCCTATGGCTTGTTAATTATATAATTACATTACTTGATTGATTTTACATATAATGCATGGATAAACTTTTAAAAAACAATTTCATTTTATTTTTAATTTTTAATCAGAATATCAAGAGTTTACATGTTCATCTCCATTATATTTGAATAACTTATATAAGATTAAAAAAAAAAAAATTTTGCTTTTATTGAAAGTAAAAGGTCATGCATTCACTGTATTTTTTGTCAAAATATTTTCAGAATTTTCTTTGTCATTTGTCCCTGGACTTTTAACCAGTTACATTTATTCATTTAGCAAATGCTTTTAAAATTAAAAATGCATTTGATGTTACATTGACCTTTAAAAATAATAGTTTGGTCTTTTTTTAATGGTGTGCATGAAAATCAACACAATTTAAAGGCATTTTGGCAGATGGTTTTATCATACATTTAGCATTGGCATTGCTGACAGTTCTTATCATTCCATTATTTTCATATTTATTCAAGTTTTAAATGAAATATTCAGATAGGAATGACACCAATCCCTGAAAATGACCTTGGTTGGATAGATTCATTGATTGATTTGATATTCCCAAAACAAAAAAGCCATAAGGTCTATTGGTTCTTGAAGCCTGTGCTTTATTCCTGCAGGTTTAACTTCGGGAAGCTGGGCTTCTGGTTCCCGTGGTCGGTGGTGTTGTTGGTGCTCGCCGCGGCTCTCTTCACCTACATCGCCCTCCTGCTGGTGAGAACCGTGAACTGCAGCAGAGCAGAGCGCTTCAGTATGGCTTTCTCCTGATGCTAATGTTGTGTTGATGTTGTGCAGGTCCTGGCCGTGTGTCTTCTCTCTGAAGGACAGAGGCTTTACCTGCACTGGAGCCACAAGGTGATCAAAGAAGCGTCTCTTCATCGTTCATCGTCTCGCACATTTGTATTCATCCCATATCTGCGTTACCAGAGAAACCGCTTCAGATGATTCACAGATTGTGTTGAACCTAAGATTAAATCATTTATGATGATAAGTTTTTAATGCTGAATAGAGCTTCGCTAAATATACGTCAGTTTAAAGTGTAATTTCGGGGGCTGCTGTAATTAATAGAAATTTTATTTTAATCGCTCTTAACGCAAATGTTGTTGTGGTTTTAGGCTCCAACATTAGCCAAAATGCCAGAAATATTTTGCTGTGCTATCATTTATTTTTGTTAGAAAAGCTAGATATTATTGTTATTTTAGGATTGTGTTTTCAATATTTTGAATTATTTTTAATTTTTTTATTTGAATGTTCATTTTAGAAATGTTGCTATTTGCTTTTGTCATTTTTTGTAGTTTTTTTATTTCAGTTTTATTTTTCAGTAATTTTAGCACTTATATTATTTTAGTTTGTTGCCAAGACAGGTCTTTAAGTTTAAGCTTCATTTTTATTAATTTTTTTATTTTATTTCTGCTTTATTTCATTCAACAACAATTTAGTTAATAGTTTCAGTTTTAGTTAACACTGCAGGATTGTTATGGTTAAAAAAAAAAAGCTGAAAATATAAATTTAACTGAAATAAAATATATAAAAATAAAATATATTTAAAAATATGTAAAACTTTATAAACATCTCGATATAATAAAATAACAAACTAAAAATGAAAATGACTAAAAATTATATAGACATATTAAAAAATAAAAATAATAAAAAATAAAACACAACAAAAACTTAACTACTACAGTGTAAACTACTACTGTACATTTTATTTTTTTAAATATTTTGAATTTTAAATAATTGACATGTCCCTATTCAACTCCATTATATTTGAATGTGTATATATATATATATATATATATATGAAGTTTGCTCTTATTGAAAGAAAAATGTTATGCATTCACTATAGTTTTTGTCTAATTTATTTTAAATTTAAATTCAATTATTTTAAAATATTTTCACTTTTTTTTTTTTATTTAGTGTGTCCTTACTTTTAACTAGAATTAATATATGACCCTGGAGCACAAAACCAGTCATCCAAATGAAGTTCTTAGCAATGCATATTACTAATCAAAAATTAAGTGTTGATATATTTACGGTTGGACATTTATAAAATATCTTCATGGAACATGATCTTTACATAATATCCTAATGATTTTTGGCATAAAATAAAAATCAATAATTTTGACCCATACAATGTATTGTTGGCTATTGCTACAAATATACCCCAGCGACTTAAGACTGCTTTTGTGCTGCAGGGTCACAAATAGAAACAGAAAATGTAAGCATGAAACTCATTCAAAATGTAGTCTAAAGTCTGAAGTGAAGCTAAAATGCAGCACTGCTATAATTAGTATTTTGTTGCCCAGATTGGTATCCTGGTGACTCTCTGCTTCTCGATCAGTGCCACAGCTGTGCTCTCTGACTTACGGAGCAAAGAATGGACAACGCTGCTCCTTTCTTTTCAGGTGAGTCACTGACAATCTTTCCACTTTACCTCAACTTCAGTTCCTGTAATGTGTTTGTGTTTGTGTGTTTGTCCTGCAGGTCTCAGCGCCGTTTCTCCACGTGGGCGGAGTTTCTCTAATGACATTTCTGTCCTGGCCAATAGCCTTACACTTCTTTCGCATGAACAAGAGAGGTACGTGATCCTGGTCACTGCTGGCAGCAAATGAAAATGCATAGTGATTCTGGTCATGTCCTGTTTCAGCCAGCAAACATCTAGTTGTTTTCAACAAGAACGGTGGTTCTGGGCTCCGCAGCTGCTGGTCTCGAACCAGTCTCCAGTGTTGAACAATATAATGCAATATACATGCTTTTAGCTGACATTCTTGGGGTTTTTTTGCAGCACACCAACTCAATATACTTTATTTTCCCCATCCATATTTTTAAAGGAGCTGCGAGTAATTTCAGACTTTTTGCTAACTTCAAAGCATTTCCAATTTGATAAAAAATCTATTTAATGAAACCTGTCAGGAAGAACTAATATACTATGTATAATAATATACAGTGGGTACGGAAAGTATTCAGACCCCCTTAAATTTTTCACTCTTTGTTATATTGCAGCCATTTGCTAAAATCATTTAAGTTAATTTTTTTTCCTCATTAATGTACACACAGCACCCCATATTGACAGAAAAACACAGAATTGTTGACATTTTTGCAGATTTATTAAAAAGAAAAACTGAAATATCACATGGTCCTAACTATTCAGTCAATATGGGGTGCTGTGTGTACATTAATGAGGAAAAAAAATTAACTTAAATGATTTTAGCAAATGGCTGCAATATAACAAAGAGTGAAAAATTTAAGGGGGTCTGAATACTTTCCGTACCCACTGTATATGATAATATACTATTATTTATTCATATTTTTAATTTGCTTATATTTTTTATATTTTCAGCTTTTATTTTAATTTTGTGTTTTTTATGTGCTTGTCTTTTTTGTTTGTTCTGTTTAACTTTGTAATTTTTTTTTCATTTTTAGTTTTAAACTGTAAAAAAAAAAAAACATAGAAAAATGGAAAAGTTATTGGTAATTTTCTGGCATGAAATTTTCCTTTTCTTTTAACCCTGAAACACAGCGCGATGCATTACATAATTCAAAATATATATATATATATATATATACAATTTCTATTATTTTAGAGTGCTGTGTGTACATTAATGAGGAAAAAAAAATTAACTTAAATGATTTTAGCAAATGGCTGCAATATAACAAAGAGTGAAAAATGTAAGGGGGTCTGAATACTTTCCGTACCCACTGTATATATATATATACAATTTCTATAATTTTTGTATCTTAATGTAGTTAGTTGCCAAGACAACATTTTTATTATTTTTATTTATATATTTTTATTTTCAGCTTTGTTTCAAATTTTTTTTACAGTTTTAGTTTAGTGTTTAAAAGGACATTTTATATATGATTTTTCAGCAAAACACCACAGGTTTTTCAAACAATTTAATTTCAGAGCTAGAGGTGTGCCACATGTGGTCTTGAAGCTTGGAGTAGTTTAACTTGTAAACAACAAAAAGCATGAAGGTGAATGGCCAGGTGATTCAGTACCATAGTCCGCAGCATCATCATTCTGCTCTCAGGTGAATGGAAACTGCGTCGTTTTGTTTTTATCAGTGACTCGAATCCATTCAGTGTCTCTGTTCACACAGCTGTTGCATCTGTCCTCGTCACCGTGTTGTTAGACTATGATGAAAAGCGAGGATGATGCAGCACTTGCTCCTGTGTCTGAGTCACGTCTCCGTCGCTCTTAATGAAGGCATGAGGATCGAGGCTGAACTCACAGCAGCTGTGTGACCCTCGCCTCCATCCAGAGACACCGGCCCTTTGTCCCGACATCGCCTCTCTCTCTGAGCCGTATACACATGCGTCATGCTCTCTAATTGGGCCTGTCAGTGGCTCTTCTCTTTCTGTAATTCCCACGTTTATTCAGACTGCTAAATGATTGCAGTGGCTTCGTGAATTTGGCTGTGATAATGCAATATGTTGTCCCAGTTTTGGTCAGATCAGAAACCCTGAAACTTTTGAAAATAATGGTTGTAAAAGCTCAGCTTCAGTTATGTTGACACTCTAAAAAACAGTAGAAATGGAGAATAATGTACTGTATTAAAAGGAAGGACATTTCTGTTTTTTTTAACCTGTATTTTGAATTTTGCACTGTATGGATTTGTGTTTTTAAAGTTAATAGAAATGTCTGTAAAAGTAATGGATAATGTCCTGTACACACACACACACACACTCACACACACACACACACACACACACACATTCACACTCACACTCACACACACACACACACACACACACACACAC